CTTAGTATCTCTGATAACATTGAGACCTCTAAAGTCAGATTTGAATCTTTTGAAATTGTTTTCCGATGATTGTGTTGCAAATAAATTGTTATGCGTTGTTATATGAAAAATAAAGTTTATTGTTTTTTCTTTGTTTCAAATAAATCTATATCGTTATTTACAAAAATATTCATGGAAGTAAAGTAATTACTATAAAAGTTAATTTTGTTGAGACTAAGGGCCGTTTCTCCATTGTCAACTTAAAATTAAACTTAAGGAAAATCCACTTTTTGATTGTTATACAAAAAGGGTAATTTACACGAAATCTCTAACTACAGAGGAATAGCATTGTTGTTAATATTCTCAAAAATTTTGGAGACAGCTTTCTATAAAAGGCTGTTGGAATTTTTAGAGAAAGTAAACTTTTTGCAGTAATAACCAGTTTGGGTTTCGTAGGGGAGTATCAACACATGATGCAATTGTTGCTCTACACAATAAAATACTAACTAATTTAGATAATAATAAACCAACAACTTGTCTTCTTTTCGATCAAAAAAGAGCTTTTGACGTAATTAACATTATATAACATTGTAATTGATTTGGTGCTTCTAAAATATTCCAAAACATAAATTAAGTTCGGTAGCAAACAGCTCAATCGTCCTTCCAATAAAACTTTTTAATAAATTACCACCTGGGATGGGACGGATTTCGGGCTGCGGTTTAAGGCTGAGATGAAAGAATTGCTTATCCAGAAGGCATTTTATTCTTTTTAATCTGTACAAGAGTACCTGCAGTGCACTTTTTAATTCATGTTTTAACCAACGTTTGTCCATTTCAACTTGTGTTTGTTTTTTCTAACTGTATGTGTTATTTTAAAAATGTTGTGTATCTTTATTGGTTGTGTATTTTGACATTATCCTATACTTACAATGTAAGTCGTATGGAAATAAAGTATATTATTATTATTATTAACGAGGGTGTCATCCCTCTAATTTTTTCAGTTGGGAATGAGGCTTAAGTAACACTTCATTAAAAACAGCTTTTAATTCTTTATATATTGCTGTTTAGTTTTCGAAAAACAAAACTATAAAGATTGCAGCAGAGCTTTTAAACGGCATAAAAGTAATTTTTATCAGCTAAATAAAATGCTAAGTGACTTTAACAAATGTAGTTGACTTAAACGGTTATGTTTCAACTGACAAATCTGTATTTCAATTAATTTGGCAGTAATGCCAAATGCAAATGAAAGCTATGATTTACCGCATTAGATGTGGAATAGAATAATATATGTATATTTACCCCCCACCCCCCCCCAGCGAACTTTACAATTGTACTAATTTGAAAAATGCATTCACTGTTCGAAGTCTGGAACACACAACTCTTTGGTCAACGGCTTTTGCATTGCAACAGCAATTAACTATAGTTTTTGTGTCCACTCGGTTAGCTAACAATGTTAATTCGAAAAGAAAGTTGGCCAATGAAGGACAACCACCGCCATTATTTATTCCAAACCTGTTAATAGACTTAAATCAAGAATGTTGCACTTGGCTGTCAGCGGCCGAAGTAATTCAATGAGGAAGGAACTGATATACAATTCCACAAGGGTCTCAAATTAAAAAAGAACCAATATTTTCGTTCGTTCAATTTTGTTATATTAATTCCGATACTTTTCCGTCTAACAAAAAAAATTGTCGCAGAGTATTGCCAAAACATTTTGCTTTATCTGCTATTTAAAATTGCCAAATATTTTTCATTTGCTATAAGTGTAACAAATATTAAATTATTTCATTCTAAATTTTAGGGAAAATCTTAATCAATTTCAATTTAATTGCGTTAGTTGGTTTCAATATCAAGCGCTTTTATAGTTTGAAATTGCAATATTATTGCGCCATTTTTCGTGGGGCGGAAAATTAATATGTAAATTAGAAATAACAAGCTCTGAGTCACTTTGAGATTATATTTCCACACTTTTGGTATAAATTTATCGCCGCACTTGTTTTCCATAGAAAAATTCATATTTTCTAAGTATGTAATTATTTTCAGTTGATTACATTGTGATTAATTCAAACAGAATTAAATTATTAACATTTAATTTTTGAGGATTTCTTTTCATTAATTATTACCGAAGTAGTAACTAAGTCGACATATACTAAAAATAAATAAAAATTTTATTTTTATTATGAATTATGAAAGCGTGTACTTTACAAAAAAAATTTTCTTATGCTTTCGCTAAATTCATATAGGAAAGGATATTATATTACCAAATGGCCTAGTAACGTCCAATTAGTAAGTGCAACCTAATGATAGAACGTTGCAAAAGGAGGTATACAGGAATAGCGAAATATATGCGTAAATATTAATATTATTATGTTATCATTCATTTTAATTCTCCAAGGAATTTATTAAAAGGTTCAATTTCTTCAATCGTTATTAAATTCTCACATTTTTATTGAAAGGAAGTTTTGAGTTTTGTTTAAATGTAATTAATATCAATATCTCAATATGTAGATAATTTGTTAATTACCCTTGTTTTGTAAATTCTACCGGGTGTTTGCTAATAATATGCGAGTATTTGTGGGTGTGGTTACATTTACAAGAAAAATGATGCTTGTTTGAATGCGAGTCGATGCTAATCAGTGGCCTGCGTATGAACAATGACTTCGATATTTTTGAAAAAAATAATGGTATCACTTTAATCAAATATTACATTATTTCTTTGTACCGGAATTTTTTTCTTTATAGTATGGATTTATCGTTCACATTGAAACTAAAAATTCAGTGAAAAAAATTGTACTTTCTTATTAATATTACCCCTGATGTTTTACTGCGAACCTCAAATAACTATCGTTAATTTCTCATATAAAATCTTGCATCTGTCTGAGTCCATCAAAATCAGAATTAAAATGCAATTTTAGTATTGTATAGGATTCGCACTAAATATAAAAGAAAATCTCTATATTACACTTCACAGAACAAACAGAACAATTAATCAAAAAATTCACCTACACATTTTGTTTTTTGAAGGTTGGTCAAACATGACGTACCTGTTAGATATCCCCAGGTAAGCAACATCAAGACTTTTATTCACTATTCTTAGCCTCTTTAGTGGTATCTTAAAATCACGTTTATTCTTTGTCGGAATAGCGTAAACATAATTATTTTTTTATAAAAATTTTTGTTCTGAAAATATACCTTTGCCAAATCACTATCCTAATTTTTTGAGAAAGAGAGAAAACGACAGATTCCACAACTGAACTTATGTTTCTCCAGGTTTTCCCTTTTCAATTATCGGTACTAAAAAAATATTCCCAAAATAATCTATTGTTGTAAATCTCAAACTACGGTAAAATCAATAAAAAAAAGTTGGACTTGGATAAGTATATTAAAATAAATGCTCTGTTAATAATATTTCGGTATATTGAAAGCCACTTGCGATACGGAAATACAAAATTAACAGCTAGTTCTTACGCTTTAGGAAACACAGGAAGATGATTTTCTTTTAAGAAAAAAACAAAATTATCTTATAAGAAGTTAAGAAATTAGGTATATCTGGTAATTTCTAATACTTGTTTTAGTCGCTGTGAAACGACTCAAGATCAGAATTGCTGATACTAGCTACTAGAAACTTATTTTGTACCAATTCAATTAATTTCCAAAGCTTATCGCGAACGCTTTCGCAAAGTGACATTACCGCTCTCGCGATAGACAAGGTTTCCAAGTATCAATTTAAACTTAATTTTAAGTACGCAGTTCTGATCATAACTGAGGGTTTAAGATGGAGTTAGTGTTTGAAGGAAATCGATGCAATCTGTAGAATATTTTTGCGCCGAACTTCTGAGCCAAAGACTTATTTATTTATTTATTAACTTAAGTTAACAATAACTTTGCTGAGCGTTAAGGGGTTAGGACGAAATTTTTATTTTTTAGAATTCTTGCTTTCTCAGTTACCCTTTTTTGTTGAAGTTACGTTGAAATGGTGGAGTAGTTTTGTTTTCATTTGTTAAAAAACAATGTATTTATCGTAATGGAAAATATCGTCGATATTTTTAAGACGCACTAGAGTACGTTGAACCTTATTTTGTGAATAAAGTTCAGGGCAGTGGACCCTCTTCATTTTAGGCATAACTTAATTACCAATTCTAAGTGGACCCTTAAAGTTCTTATTGGAAAAATTTCCCTTTCAGAGAACTAACACATTCCCGAATTACACTGTACTATTGGAATTTAATAAAGAATGAATGCTATACCACATCACTACTATGTTGTTATTGTCCCCAAACCGGATTATTTCTCGAATATTATGCATTTTAAAAAATGGCAAAGGATATCAATACAAAAATTTACACAGAACTCAATCCAGACGATATCTTTGGTTAGTTTTACAGAATAAAGCATTCTTATCTATAATGTATTTATAATGTATAAAACTGCATTCGAATAGCGAAAATGGCTAGTCTCTTAGTTTTGGTGAGTTTTGGCCAGCAAACTTTTCTAAGCTGCTGAGCGACCCACGTCTCATCAAATTTAAGCAAGCAATCTGCAGGTAAACTAAACAAAACCAGTCAAAACCACTCATTGACATGTTTTTTCTACTAACCAATGGTTGAAAATTTGCAGACCAAGTAATTATTTTGCAGTTTTTTTTTTCTTTTTTGACTTTTTGCTAAATTGGTTGCAGAACAAGGATAGCAGGCGGTTTTATATTTTTTACAAGCAAAATTTTGGTATGCTGGCCAAATGATTTAATAGCTAAATTTTGTTACGAATCAATTTTAATTTTTTATCATAGTGCACGCTTTAAATAATTGAAAAAATAAAATATTTCTAAAATTAACGGTGCAAAAAGTACTTCTATTTAGCACGAAAACTTTCTCAAAGTTATTTAGCCTTTTTGCAATATTTGTTTAAAAAATTTGATATTTTCTTCAACAAAAATTCTCAGAATTCAAAACTGACAACGCGTGATACTATGAACGAATGCCACGCAAATATCACCGCCAGCAAGGGCCCGATCTTTATACCAGGTTCCAAAGTTTACACTTTAATCCCGGGTTGCACTTGATTTCGCGCCAACACACAATCACTTTCTTATCTCGGCTCGCAAAATCGTACTAACTCCGTACGGTCAAATCGCCGCTGTTGGCCCAATCTCAAACAAAAACTGTCACTTTCACAAGTTGCCGAGGTAGCACTGCGGTCAAATCAAAACGATAAATTTATGCCGCTACGGTAATTCATTATAGGGAACGAGAGGCTGCTGCTGGCCTGCAGAACTAGAAACAACGCGAAACAAAAATGAAGAAAATGTGTTGAACAGCTGGCGGTAAGCCGTAGAAGCAATCGGCGCGCACAAGTGAAACGGTTGAGATGAAAACAGTTGACTGACACACTACTGCCGCTTCCGTTGATGAAGATGGGGTCAACGAAAATGAAGACGTATACGGGGGCAGCCGATCTTATTCATTGTCGATTGGTCATGTCACGATATCTTCACTTTAAACGGATATCGACTGCATTGCGAGAAGAAAAGGTGATAAAACACGGAAGATACTTTGATCCTTTATGCCAAACTGGTTGACGAACGCGATCAATTGTCTTCGCTCGTCAGTTTCAATTTGGCGTGCACCTCGTATTGGTTACGGAAGAAGGGGGGCGTGAAGATCGCCAACGGAACCGTGCGATTCTGTATCCATGAAAACTACACATGTTTAAAATAATTAAGAAGCGTGGCGTATGTGTAGTCGAACATGGTGAAAGTAACGATAAAGTAACTACAGAGTGGCTTCAAAAAACATACAGAAATATCCAGAGGGTATTTGAGTTTTAAGCATGCGCCGTTTTCCACCTTTTCTTTTTTTGTTCGGGCTACTTTTTTTTCCACGTATTTCTTACCTTGTTGTCTTTATCTAGAATAGTTGTATCATTCGCATGCATCTGCTTTTTTTTTCATTTTCTGGGTTCAGCGTAGATGCTTTATGTAATTTCCTAGTTTTGAGTTCCAATTACTAGTTTGGTCGAAATGCGAGATATTCAAATTTAAAATTCGTTTGAACTTTAAACTGACGAACTATTTTCTTTAAATTGTTTCACACTGCAATCCTGAGACTATTTTAACCATATACTATAAAAGAGTCATTCTTTAGCTTCTACTTTAGATCCTTTATACTCGCATTTCCATTCGAATGCATGTATATATTTCTCGCAGTGGGCGGTAAATGTTGTGATATTACCTGTTATTATTTTATGAATATTTTTGTGTTTTTGAAATGATAAATATTGGTTGATTGATTCTACGAAATTTGAAGTAAAGAAATAACTTCGATGTTTGTAGAAAAAGAAGCATAACCTGTACAACATGTAAAAAACTTTTGGCTCTTTTTTTCTATATGCTTGATTTCTTGTTAAATTAACAAGTACTAGGCACAAGAAATCTACATTAGTATTACAAACTATCAAAAGAAAATCGAATCTCCAAATAGAGAACGACATTTAAAAAAAAATGATGTTGTAGAAGAATCAGTGGTTTTAAATGTTGATAAGGCTAAACTCCTTACTCCCAGAATTTGAACAACCGTCAAATCAAAGTATTACATGAGGCAAATTATACAATACATTTTCTACTTTTTAAAAGACAGAGTGCTAATTATGTACTTGTATAAACATTAAAGGGTAAACCTTTGACTAATTTTAAGATAAGGTCCGCATCTACTTGGTTTTTGACCTGTTACATGGCGTCCAGAGAAACTATTTTATTTGTTTTTGTTTTGTTATATTTTTATTCAGAACTTGGCAATTACACGAAATTCGAGATACTGGTTTTATTAAAGACGAGAAACTGAAATATAAACGTACTTTTTTGTTTAAAGTTAGAAGGCGCCATATACGGTTTTGTCCCTGTATATAATTCAATATAAGTTTTTTGTGTCGCAACAGTTAGTCTCAGGATTTGTCGCTGAAAGCACCGTTTTGGACAAAGGGTAAGTTAAATCTGCTTTGGATCATTTTCGAGTTTTTGAAAAATAGGCCAAAAATACTTCTTTCACGTCATGTGCTATTTACACTTACGTTATATGCAGGGTGGTCCATTTAATATGCCTGATATCAAGGAGGAAAAAAAGTTTAATACAAAAAGTCTTTGACTCTAAATATATATATTATTTATAGTATTTTATGCATACAGGGTGTTCCGTTGTGCCATGGCCGTAATCAATTTTATTTTTTTAAATTTAATGCTATGAATATTTTTAAAAATTCTAATTATTCGCTTGATTTTGAGAATTTTTTGATATTACATATCATACGAAATTTTGGAAGTAGTCAACATTTAATGCTTTGAACTATCTATGATGAAAATATATTATACAGGGTGGTCACAAATGACAATATTTTTTTTTTCTAATTAAAAAAACTATTTTTTTAAAAAAAGGAGCACCTTGTATTTAACATTTTTATCGGGTTTGGTATTTAATTCTGTATCATTTCGTATATTCAGGTTTTATGACAAAAATTGGTGGTTCAGAAGTTGCGACCAATTTTGTGCAACAATTCCCGTATTTTATTTTAAATCTAACCAAACCTGTATAATAACAACAAAGTTTTTTTTTAACATTAATTATTTAAATCCAATATAAGTAATGAAAGTAAATAGAGCTTATTTCTAATGAAAAATTAAAATCCATAATGTTTTTTAACAAAATGTTTACTAGGAATTTCATATATAAGCAAAGTGACATATTTCCTTAACACTGAATTTTTTTCAAAGGTTCGAGTTCTGTAAACAAACTTTCAATTAAATATATCTATTATATTCTATGTAATTTTTATTAGCACTGCCACGCTATTTAGAGCCACTAGCTCGCACTAGTGAAACGTCAAACGGAAATCCTAACTTTGATTAGTTAAATCAGCTATAGCGAACAACGGATAGGTACTTGCCAATAATTGACGATCTGGCAAATTAGCGTCTCCGAAATGTTTGCACATTCGAGCTACTCCCATTAATCACCGCCAACAATAAGGCGCCATTAGTTTAGCAAACCGCTTATTAACGTCTTCATTGCATGTAATTTACAATCAAGTCGATGTGTGCGAGCAAAGCCTATAGGCCCCACAATTTTTACAGGCAGTCGAAGAAACTTTTACGACAGCTTTTAGTTCGCACGATTTGTAGTCAATTAATGACTAATTTGATGTGGACTACTTTTCTCGGTATTTGGGTACGATATTCATTGAATAGTGATGTAGTTAAATTGCGTTTTAACAAATCTGTGCAGTTATACAGGGTGTCTAAAAGGTTATACAGGGTGTTCTTCAAGATGATGGTGGCTTGATTTTTTTGGTACAAAAACTCACTAAGCACCCCATCTGCAAAATTTAGTCAAATTAGAGAGTTGACTTTTATACGACCTCAGAAATAAGCAATGTCGAATTCATTGCAAGATGCAGGTATGCCTTGCAATTGTGTCAGATCAGATATCACAAAAAAAATGAGTTTATAAACATTTAGATTTTGCATATGGGGAATATGAGCGTTTTTGATTTTAGCCATACAATGACATCAATATTTATAATTTTTTTTAGGGAGTCACATTCTACTACAAAAGAAAATCAATTCTCCAAAACAAAAGTTTTACGAATTTTTACAATGATAATAGTAAATAGTAAAAAAGTTAACTTTGTTTAAATTTAAGGAAGCGAGTTTTTCTCAGAACTATCAGTTGGATAAAATAAAGATAATAGTAAAGCAAAGAAAAATCATCTTAACTTCTAATTAGATAGACTATAATTCACAATATTTTTATAACAGACATACTTTGAAGAAAAAAGTTTTGAGCTTCAGTTGAGAGTTCTAATGGCAGATTGATTAAACTATAATTTTTAACCAATATATTTATCACTTTACAGTTTATCCGTGGAAAAATATTGCGATGGTTAAGTCCAATTTATTTTTAAAATGAATGCAAAAATTTTCCTTGTCAAATTTTCAACGTACTAGGTAAGTCAAGTATGAATATTTCATGAATATATCAATATTTTAGGTGAATGAGGTTATTTTTAAGTGCACAATTAAAGTTAAGGTACGCTCATTTTAAAGAAACCAGTTTTCCGTCTTTCTCAGTTCTATTTTATATCCAGATCTAATTTACTTAATACCGCTCCAGTTGTCTTTTAGTTCGTTAAAAAAAAATTATAATTTTATTTTACTTTTTATAATAGGCATTATTTTTATCCAATGATTTTGCCGACAATTTTGTATATTTATCATTTCTTATATGCAATACATATTACGTGTTGTATTAGTTATACTGCCCTAGACCTGTTTATATTAAGAATAATGCTATTTGGTCTCTTAGCTGCAAATATAATCAAAAATGTTCTGCATTATTTTCTTCTTAATTTAGCATAGTATTTAATAAATACACACTGCGGAGAAATGCGCGAAAACAAAATAAACCATAAAAATCCGTTGTAAATGTTGTAATATTAAATAAAACCTTAATTTATAAGGTTTCCTGATGATGGTATATGGGGGGTAGACAATTTCGTCAGTTCCAAGAATTACTTGAATACTTGATGTACTTGGATAACGTGTGTACAGACTCCCTCCGCAACTGTGAACAGCTTCTTTTATTTCAATGTTGAAAAAAAATTGTAATTTGGTTGTATTTTAATTTTATTTATTAATTATTATTATTATTATTATTAATTTATTTAATTAATTTTTTTTGAGATATAGATAATAATAGAAAAACGTCCGACTTCTTCTGCTTTAAAAAGTACTCCTATCAGTTAGTTTTCTCAATACTGTTTTCAGTATTGTGACTACCCTCCAGTTCTGTAAAACAGGGGGCCATCGTACAACCTTTCACCACCATGCACCCGTTTTCTCCAGATTTCTGTGTTGTTGTTCTTGTTCTTTTATTTTACTTTGAAACTTTGTAAACCTGTATGTTTGATAGGTACTTTTTTGCGGTATAAATTTTTCATTTCTTGACTTATGCGAGTAAGCCAAAGCCAAAGAGGAGCCATTGTTGTTGTTTCGTAAAACAAATACAACTGCGACGAAGTTATTTATTGCGACGAAAGCCGATTTGGTGTCTGGGTGGCACATTTGGAAAAAAACAGAAACATTCCACTAGGATTGTTTCAAAATCGCTGTACAATTTTCACAAGGCATCAAGGCATTATGTTATAAGTAAAGGTTTGTCTAGAGAACTTTACATATTATTGAAGGCACAGTAAATGCAGTCGAGATATGCTTTAACAGTCGTTTTACCAAGTTATAGACATCCAAATCTATAACTAAAGCTAAATCGGCCAAAAAATGGAAAAGGGAACATGTTTCTTGTTTTCTAT